TTCGGATTGCGTTGATTTTTTGCTCTTAATGGTGTGACTTTAACATTGCAAGCAAGCAGCCATGTAAAAACATGCACGAAAATACTGGAAATGGATTTTGGCCGTGTCATTACAAATTACCTGCCAGCCATAGTCTAAGACGCATCCATGATTTCAGAAAGAAATATTCCCAAGGTATTGAAATTGTACAAGTCAGAAAAACTGTTTTGGATCCTTATGTAAAAAAATAATTCACTGATCTTGTATTGGCATACGTAAACACAGCATTTAACAATTGCATTTGTAATCCTATTAAATATTTTAATATCAACTATCCATATTCCAATTGGCCCAACAGAGAAATACATTAGGAGGAATAACCTCGGCTTTGTCACACAATCCTCATCTGGAGGTAATACATTTAAATCCATACCACCTAAATTTCAGGGAGCCCGTGCTTAAAAATGCAAGTTACGCCACGTATTGAGTGTTCTTGTCTGCGGTTGAAGAGACACACATGGCCACTGACCATCCGGGTCTTTCGCGTCTGTTGGCTGGGGCACTATATGACGACTATGGACCGCTTTATGAGCAATATTGCAATGCTTCTCTTTTCGGGAGGGGGAAATTCTGCCACCTTGCCAAGGCCTCAACTTCGAGTCATGACGTGCAAGGGGTCATGGAGAAATGTGTGCGAAATGCACCCGGTGGCTCGGAAGCGAGTAATATCGTCCGACTCCTACCGAGATATGTCCTCGCGAAACCTTTAATAGACAATGACGGCTGTTTCATGAGTTACGGTAACGCTCATGCGAAGTAATATCTCTGTCATGCGGGTGTTGTGCATTGTTTTATTTCCTTTGGCGTTAACAACTATCCACTGTTATTACTAACAGGCTAAAAAAATGAAAAATAGTTATTTATGCATTTCTTATTTAGTCAAATTTCCTATTTTTAAACATTAAAAAATACATAGAATAATATAGTAAGAGCGTCAAGTTCGATTTGTTGAAGAGGTATTTTGGCTTTCCACCACCAGACAAAGTTTAGTGTTCTGCATTGTCATGGACACGGTTCTAATTTGAATATGTCTCGTGGAATGTTAAATGGTAACAGAACAAAAATCAAACACAAAACAGCCGATTGCTTAATAGGAGGCATTCTTGAGCTGTCCATGGACGATGAGATTACATTCACACTTCTTAGTGCACGTTATTTAAACTTCATATTTAAAAATGGAAAGTTCTTACAACAACACGCCACCCAATAATACGGTGCCCAAAAGAGGACACTTATAACCCATTTAAAAGCTTAAAAAACGCACACACAATCAATCAATCAATCAACACTATAACTCTTCATAGATGACATCTACATGCTGTTAAAGTCAAACAGATCTAAATGCGTTTACGTTATAAAGTGGTAGCCTATTCACTCTGCCAGTCTTTGTCTTTTGCCCTAACTTCTTGAACTAAATTTGTTTACTGAACAATATACAGTACACGGGTTCTGGAAGCCCTCGATAAGGTCTTGTTTACTTATACCTCTCCACTTCTTAAAATTTTTATTCCTAATTTTTCTGTGTTAATTTGCACAAGGAAAGCAACAAATAAACGAGACAAAGACAACGGGCAAATGAAGCATTACAGACAATATATTACAATATTTCTACCCAATAGTACCTAATTTGAACTGAGGATATTTTCAATTTTGTCTTTTAATTCATATTTCCTCTGTTGACAAAGAGAATCGAATATTAAAAAACAAATGAAGAGGCAATGTAAAGTCTGACTGATGCTGTCGCTTCGAGTTCGTAGACACGTAGCTATGGTGCATGCATATTGGAGTATTTCTATAGTTAATGTGCAGTATGTTTTAATACAGCGTAATTTAGTTGCATATCATTTTTTGACTATTTTAATAATGTTAGATGGCCCATTGAAAATCATCTGGTTTTTAGATTAGATGACTACCAACTGTAAATAAAGCTATTTTCATTATCATTCTTATTCTTATTATACAGACATTTTATTCTTTTGAAATTATTTTGAAAAACTATTCAGATGTGAAAATCTGTCGATGCCAGAATAGATGCATTTTTATTATAACACTTGAAGGTCAGGGCAAATCTGACTAAGGTGTATCCTTATCTGAAGTCGCAGATTCAACACTCTGAATGTGACTCGATCAAATCATATATAACGGCTTCTTCTATTGTCAAAAGACCTTGGCCCTCCACGACAGGCTTTATGAAAGCATGTCTGTTTTAAATACAGGAGGGGCATGCTTAGTAGCACGACGAAGTATCACCTAGATGCAGTCCCCAATTTCCTCCTCCCCTGAGGTCCAAGGCTCGTTTGCTTGGGCGGGCGTGAGCTTCACTGACTTTCACCAAGAAAATCTTTCCCACAAATTTGCCGATTTTCCTTTATTCCACGTCGGTTTTCTCACGCCCGACTTGCTGGCATAGTTTTCCGGGGCGGGTCGTTTTTCATTCTTAACATGCTTGCCCCGGGCACAGCAAATTAGGGTGCGGATGCTGAAGGGACCGTCGTACGTCATCAAGTTTCAATGCAAGCTGCAATTACCATAGTGACCCTATTTATGAACGATTTGAAGAAGTATAACCACCCATATACTAAAACTAGTTAGAAAGGCTCGTCTTAAAGGATTGATTTCATCATGTGTGTTAACATATGTTCAGCCTGTGAAGGTGTTCATGTCAAGTTCAACCCTAAACTGAACTCTGTTTACGGAGTCATGAGTACTGGATCAAGAAATATGAACGTATCACCCACTGAAACCGCAAAGCATTAATATGAATGTTCATCACCAAGGAACAGGGATTCGAGATTTATTTTTCACGGTCCATTTTACCTATTAAGGATAACACAATCCAACTAGGGATCTGGCACCCTGAAGAGGTAATGAGGTTGGATTTCCTTCCTTTGACACTTTTTCACCAGTCAATGCACGGCATAACGTGAAGTGCTTGTCCAATAACGAGACTTTGGTCCACAAAAATATTCATCAAAGTGGAACATATTAATCACCGCCGAAACATACTTCAGGGAATTAAGCGCAAAATTACACGAGGGCAAACTAACTCGATTAAAACCCAAATGACAGTACGTGAAGTCACCGTCTGTGCGATCATATGAGGAGGTATCATGACAAGTGGGCATACACACCAATCTCACAGGGATCTGTTTGGAATGGTAACAAACAACATAGGAAGATTTATTCGACGGGGGAGATTTAATTGAAAAAAGAAAGCTCAAATTGGCGCTGCGTCGGACTTACTTCCTCAACGGAACACTGGCTGACGGTGGTAAGGGGATGACAAGCTTTGGGAAGAGGGTGGGGAAATGGACTGGGACCGAGGCTGGGCCCGGTTGTGGCGTTTACGTAGGAAGTCGCGTCCAGTTCCAGCGAGATGATAACGTCTACTTCGCTCGCTTCCCCGTTAGATTAATGCTATTCCTGATGGGCCAGAGGGCTAGCTGATGAATGCATCAAACTTCATTACAGTAGGTACTCGTGGCACGCCGGCACGTGTTGTCCTGTCGCCTCGCATAATATGACAGCGGAGATCCGCGCGGCTGGCTGCGCCCAGCGCACGTCCTACTGCCCCCCTCAGTTTGCCGAGGAAAAGAACCGTATATCGATTGTGCACAAGAGGTTTCCCGAGGCCTCAACGTGTAATACAGGTCACGAAATCAGCTCGAGTTACCAATACATCAACGGAGAACTCTGTGAAGTTCTATGACCACACAGCTCCCTGAGGTATTTCAGTTTTCGACCACGGACAGAGGTAATAATAACTCATTCGCTCTGAAGAATATGCTGCCTTTATCGGATGTACAGACGACTCCTTTGAGACAGATTTCTGGATTCTGTCCGGGGATTCATTCATCTCTTTTCCTTCTCAATCCAGAGTCTATTCAGCGTTTTTAAAGACTGGGGACCCATGAATAAGTTTCCCCGTAACGAACGAACGCCGAGGCGGTGTTTTCCTTGCAATGAAATAAGAAGGGACAGCGGGCCGTCCGAAACTGTCATGCGTAATTAGGACCCATGGTTCAACATCAAATTCCTCATTTACATCTGCATTAACATCGAGCACTAGACTTAACTTGGATAATGTTCACACATATGGGTATGGTACCCCATTCAGTCCACGGACCTAGTGTGAATCAAAATTTTGAAACATTCTCCTAATAAATATAATGAACTTTATGTCGATTTGTCAGGTTACTGCGACATGTTACACAGGCATCCGCAGCAGGGAATGGTGGCAAATTGACGCTGGCCGCTGCTGGCAGTATTAAACTGTGGTGATTTTCTAATACTGGAGTAATTTCAAACCGACGAGATCTTAAACTGAAAATGCATATTTTTTTGCTTAAACAAAGGTGGCACCGCACCCTGGGGCCCAATTCGGTGCTTGAAATATTAAGGGCATTCGCAGATTGGATGCTCCAGGAAACACAAAGACTAATCATTAATTATTTACACTCGATCGCTGAGGGATTTACCTTTAAAGTGGCCAGGTTACTGGGAAGGGGTGATAGAGGGCAATGGACGATGGAAATCAATCCCCGCTAAGCAGATTGATAATTGTCACTCTCCAAATTGAATAAGACATTTTTCAGAGTTACAAAATAGTAGACATACAAGAGTATCTACGATGCTACGGAAGCACTCACTGAATCTGACGAAGCATATTTGGCCCCAAAGAAAACCTAAATCTTTACATTTGCAATTTTCTGACAAAGGGGTAAATTCAGATCACCATTATCATTATTTTGCTCACTGCTCTTTTTCGGTATTATATGCAATAATGGATTTGTGGTTTGTTGCAATATTCATATCACAGAGCTACTTTGAGGGATATTACTGGTTGTTGGTCATCCATCAATACCTGTCATCAGCCTCTAATCGTGAAAGCATCTTGATTCATAAAGTAGAAATTATACTATGTCCTCCAAGGAGGCTGATCATGGATACGGTTCACCTACCTCCGTCCATACTTGAAGCAGCTACCTTCTTGGGATATTTGTCCCCTTGTGAATTACTCATGAACGCCTTTTCTCCTTGCCTGGTTTTGGAAGGTTGCAGCGGGGCTGAAGCTGTGTGAGGAATCATCCAATGTTGGGAACGCCGTACTCCTCCCTCTACCATCTGTGCAAATCCAGAAACTCTAATCGGCTGTCCTTCCTCTCTGCCTCTGTAATATTCAGAATTTGTCCACAGTTGTCCGGGACATGGCTATGTATTTTTTTCTTTTGGACAACAGTGATGTGTTGGGTAAGTACATAAGCCAACAGGTCCTGGCACACTTGAGTTCAGAGATCCACTACGGCGCCTCGATATGCCGATATTACCACATTCCCTCACATCTCTCCCGCCCTTTTTTCCACAGCGGTACCGTCTGCTCACATACACGGTCGCATCTGGCTCAGGAAGGCTGTACACGTTCTCGCGTCTGTGAGCTAACGTCGCTCTGCACCAGCAGCACACTCAGCTATTGAAGTTGCGGTGGTCACGTGCCATCCGCAGTTGATAAGAGAATGATAAAGCCCGCCCCATAGTCATCGGGAGTGTACCATTATCACGCCAGGGGTGTGGTAGCTTGAGATTGCCTGCGGGATGGGAAACGCACAGGTGGCTAATAATAATCTCTACAAAGATAAACGACAGATGAATAGCAACGCATTATAAATGAGATAGTGCGATACTTTCTATGCAAAAAGATATTCTTGGATACAACAACATCTACAAAAACCGCTTTTAGTCAGGTTATTGGTTATCTATTGGAATAAAGCTGAGGAATTATTAAACATCCCAAGGGTAGTTCCAGAAATTAGGGGTCCAAAACATTTGTGTGTCCCTGTTACATCTGACCTTTGTTATTTGACATGGAAATATTACCGGAATTGATTTCAAACTATTACTGTTTGTTTAGTAAGGAATTTGCACGAATCCATCACTCTCGGAAATTTGAAACTTTGTTCTGAACTTACAAAATCGTATGTCAGATGTGACAGGGACTCGAAAAAAAAATGGACCCTTAATTTCTAGAATCAACCTGCAATAAAGTCAGCACATGACATTGTTGTGGACATTTCTATAGCAATACGTGTAAATACTCATGACGAAAAACATCCATGCAGCATTCGGTGCGATGGAATATTTTTTCTTGATACCCTATTGCATCCAGAATTTCAGTCAAATTATTTGGACAAAAGGGGGGAAAAGAACAAAGTTATAAATGACGTCAGTCAATCACTTGCATTCTTGTGATCGAAGCACTTTCGTGTGGACGCGTCTTTTTACAGGTAGGACAACAGCACTCTCTATAAACGGCCTGTAAGCGGATTTTTGTATTCTCGGTTCTTGTTCTCTCAGAATGAGATCAAAGTCACAAAAACCTTCGGCTTAGTTTAGTTTCCCCGAAGGAACATAACTTAATCACATATTTCTATTACTAAGTCATATATTTCTCTCACGACGCTGGCATTGCTGTTGGGCATAAGGCACTTCATTTTTATTATGGATTTGTTTTACCTTAAAATACTAGCTTTCAATGTCGATTCTGATTAACGATTGTTTGTGATTTCGTTTATGAGATCATGATTTACGTACGATGGTAACACTAGGCACTTAGTTAATACCGTTTAACTGAACTTCTGGCACACATTTACACCACTGGGTCTACCAAGCCTCGGGTCTCTGTCAGCACATTTTCTCGATATCTCCAGTCCTGATTAGATTTAAAGGGCAAGGTGAAATGTCTCAAAACAAGCGCCATCAACGTTTACGTTTTGTCAGGTCAGACTATGGCACTGAATGATAATTGAGCACGCGACTGGTGAAGTTTCATATTGTTTCACCCCCATAGGTAGCACAGTGGCAATCTCGCCCATTTTATAGCCAGTTGTGGAATGGCTAAAGTAAAATAATCAACTAGAATAGAATGCTGGAGCAAAAAAAATTAAATGCTGACGGAGATAAAAATGTAAATAACACTGGTAATCCATTATAACTTCAATAAAATGAAATTCAACTACACAATACAAACCTCTTACACAAACAAAAATCAAACAAGTCACAGAAACAAATCTACATTCTAAAGTACCATTAAATCATAATACTGGCTTGCTAATATTAAATCATTTCAAAATTAGGCAAGGATTTATCGTTGGCTAGAAATCACCTTTATCGGCGCATTCATTTTACAATAGTAACAAAGCGACGAAATAAAAAACCAAATGTGGAAACGCGTGAAATACGCGACATGTGAACGATCACATTGACTTGATTGCCAAGAAACAGTTTGGCTAGCGACGAGATGGAGTAATCTCTTTTCACACATTCCTGTCGACTCTACCTTCCCGAGATATGAAGAGGCTGCTTGAAAAATACTTGACATCCACACTTATGTATAATTATTTAAAGCTAATATGAGAGCAGCAAACAATGACATCAGCACTACTTGAGGTGACTGCAGGTGCTTGCGAGAGGATACAACGAACGAATATGAGCATGAATTCGAATCCACCAGTTGACAGACTATGGTTTGTTCCATTAGCAGCGGCACATTATCAACCACTCAGCCTATCTCACTGTATGCACAACGTTCCCTCCTCGCGATCAATCATTTTCGGGTTAATTTTACTTTAGTTCCTTGCACGCAATGCACCTTAGGCCCAAGCCTATGTAGGTTCTGTATTAATGAGTTTTAGGGAATGCTGGAATTAGTCAATCATAAATTACACATCACCATCAATTAGCTAGATGATTAATCGGCGCCAGGCTCAGTGCTTCCGTATTTGTGCGTGAAGTTCAGTTGAAAGAAGGGATGAACTTAAAATTTATTCAATGTTTTATTTTGTGAACAGAAATGTCGTCTTTGCAATGGTTGGTTGGATCTAGACGTCAACAAAATTAACCAGTCCTAAACTTCATTACCATGGTGTTTCTGGGATCGTCAATGCGTATGACTTTGGCGCTGTGTGCCTTTTGCCACAATCTACCAACTCCGGGGCTCGGAAAGGGATCAGCCTTGAGCAAAAGCACCCCCTAATCGGTTGAAAAAGAGCCACATTGGTTGGGGTTGTTTATTTAGTTGGTAGCGATGCGACTCCAACGCTTATGTTTCATAGTCGTTCGTGAACCAGCGTTGCGCAATACTACCAAAGGAGCCTCCGTTGCTAGAAAATTTGCGCCCTCTCTTGGTCGCGCTCGGGGTTCATGGGCTGCAGCAACGCTTGGGTTACTGCATAATTCATTCTGTTCGCTGACAAAATGACGATGATACCGTCTGACGCATACATATTCCCGTCGAAGTCCCTATCGGCCACCGAACCTCCTCTGCCCCGCAGCAAGGAGAACAACGAGAGTATCTGCGGCACCCACTCGACCCGTGCCAAGTGGCTGGGCACCGCTCTGACCGACAGGGCCCAGCGGACAACATGGACTCGGCCCGATTGCGTACCGATGTGATTCTAGTGTCTGGTTACCCCGAAAAGGAAATTATTCTAAGTAACTTTTCCCACGATTCTTGAAACAAGGCATAAGGCGAATAAACAGAGAGAGGAGGCGACGCTGTGTCGTTATTTTTGGCGCCACAGACTTTTGTTTTTGGAAAGAGAGAGGGTTACTTGGAACACTAGTTTTCATGAAGTGAATTTGAATGCCTGCCAGCCACAGTAATAAAAACATCAATGATCATCTAGCCAACAACCATAACAAGAAAACAGTCATCTGTCCCCCCCCCAAAAAAACAAAACCAAAACCCGGTGGCAAAGAAGAAGTTATACACAAAATGCAGAAATACGATACTCATACTGTCCAGTTAACAAACTGCTGTAAAGATTATTATCGAGTATGGTGAAAGTTCTGTATTTTTCTCATGCCCTACAAATACAAGCACATCCAGAAGTAAATACTTGATCTTTTGCACAATTTAATTTGAATGGATTTTAACTGTAACGATTTAAATGGTAACGACTTCATATACATGCAACATGCAGTGTTGTATTGGAGTCCATCGTAAGTCCCTGGAAGTCCCTGTAAATCCATCACAAGTCATTCAATCTGAAGCCAATTCTCAAGCTTTTCATAGGAGCCTTTTTTTTTATCATTGTTCACCCGTTTACCAATGACCGACCTTGTAAAGGGGCTTATGACTGGACTTGTTAAGGGACTTGTGAAAGGACTTGTGATGGACTCAAATACAACACTGGCATTATGTCCTGAAAAGTGAAGAACAAGGGCATTGCAAGACCATTTAAATTTAAACATCTCAACTAAACCAAGTATAAAATCGTATAAAATTACCCTGATTTTTTAATGTGGCAAACTTAAGGTGAGCATATACATGTACGCATCTGTTGAATTCGTCCCTGCCAGTTTTCATTGACGTTATTTTTTACATCAAGAACCTTTCCTGAGAGTATACGGCAGATAATAAATTAAATAACATCCAATATGTGCATTTCATTCAGGTATAACCACTTTTTCTGGTAATTATGGTACAGGTAATTATTTAATAAAAGGAGAATAAAAAATACACGAACGTTGGCGCACTTTAGGAAGTTGTTGTTACCGGTTCTTGGTCGTATATTTGACGTTACTTACGCGATGCTTCCAATGCTAAGATACTGCGCCAGACGGGTTGATCCAAGGAATACTTTCAATTACGTCGGATAACGAGTTCTCTTTGAGGATTCCATATTACAGCAACCCCTCTGATTTAAAGAGAAGATTCAAAATGCTGAGGTAAAACTAAATACATCGAATAATAACGAGTGGTATGTGATGCAGTTCTTTTGAGAGAACTTGATAATCTTCTCAAAAGAATGTCCATATGATGCAAAGCTTTTTTTTTGTAAACGTCTGACCATGGTCAGTAGGAAGAAGAGAAACGTTACATATCGGTAGAAATAATGGAAGACCGAGGACGCATCACACGTCTTTCCTGAGAGGACTTCAACGTTCGCCATGCGCACACTTCTCGCTATTTGCGTTGATCGGATCTCGTGGGGAAGGTGGCCCAGCGAGCCTGGAGGGCCGACAGCTCCAAGGCCTCCAGGGAGGTTGAGGTCCATGCCTTAGAATAGGCCTACTGTAAAGTGCGTTAAGAGCCAGCTACCTCGAAGTACAAGGAGCGTGGTCTAGCTGTGAGCGCTGTATGGGTTTCTATATCAGTAAAAATCAAGGGGTTGCGAAGTGTACGAGAAAAAGTCTGCCTAGATACAGAAAGAGATAGAGAAAGCTGTGAGATAGCTGTTTTTATTAACTGTGGTAAGTTTGCATGTATAATATCCCTCGTTTTACTCAAGTCATGGTTCAACCCTTGAAAAGAAAACTCATGACATGTATGTCTTATGCGAATCGTCATTTCTCGCCGTCCTGCCAAGGTGTACTTGTCACATATATATATATATACTGGAAATAATAGACATGATGTTATACAACCAGTTAAAAGTGTCAGCATGTAATCTTTTTAATCTTCTTAACCTTTTCACATATTTTATCATTTGATTAAAAGAATTCCAGCAGGTCACGCTTAAATAGATAATATGGAGCTAAACCTGAGTCGAATATCAGAAATAAATTGTATATAAAGAAAAGATCC